AGCTGTGTTACGGCTCTGATTGGCCCAAAGAGGGGGCTCGGCCCTCTCTTGGTTGGTCAGTTGCAAAGGGATTCTGGAGTTAAACAAGGGAACTGAGGCAGGAGAAAAATAAGTCCTGGGACTCAGGAGGCCAGACCTCGAGGTCACCCCTAATGGGGTGCTGTGTGTGTGTGTGTGTGAGGAGGAATTGGGCTTTGGAGGGCGATTTCAGCCCAACCTGTCTCCTACTCTATCCCAGGAAGCACTGCAGCCGCGTGTGACTGTGTGACTTGGCGTGATTCCGTGTGCTACGTGATTCTGTGCATTTCTGTGTGTGATTGTGCCTGAATGACTGTGTATCTGTATGTAGTGGTACTGACTATGCCTGGGGCTGTTGATTGTGAGTGGTTTTGTGCCTGTGTAACTGTGGCTGTGTTTGAATGTCTTCGTGTGACTGAATGTCTTTGTGATTGGAAGCTTGTGTAATGGTATTCTGTGTGGTACTGTGTGTATGACTCTGTATTTTTGTGGTTTTTCTCTAGGTGTGGCTGTTATCTTTGTGATAATATTACTGGATATTTGTGTGTATGTGATTGTGTGTAGTATATGTGCCAGTGTGGTTTGGTCAATGTGCAGTTGTGTGTGATTGTGTGCCTGACTGTGACACATGCCTGAGTGGCTTTGCTCACCTAGGTCACTTTTAAGAGCATTTGTATGGTGTGCATTTGTCTGGGTTCATTATGCTTCACCATCTCTGTATCTGAAAGACACAAATCTACCGTGACTGGCCCATTCTCAGTTGGGGAAAGTAAGGCCCAGAAAGCAATCACAGACTTGATCAAAGTCACAGTGGGCCAGGTGCAGAGCGGGGACCAGGACTGGGATCCAGGCCTCCTGAGTCCCAGGACAGGCCCCTGCCCACCCAGGAATACTTCTTCCCACATAGACATAGGTAGTTGTGTGTGTAGTGTGCTCTACCTCACACATTGTCTGTGACTGAGTGTGATGGCAGCAACTGTGGGATTGTGTCTGAATGTGATTACTAGCCTGAATGTCCCCAAATGCCTGAGGCCTGGATGTCCCTTGACTCTCCCACTGTCTAGGCCCTTTTTGCCCTCAATACCCAAATAAAATGGTTTGAACCCTCCACTTCACACAGTAGGGAGTCCATCAGCACCTTGAAATGTCTGGGATTCTGCATAACTCTTATTCTAGACACCTGCCTCCTCCTGGAGCCAGTGGCCTCGCTCCTTCAACTCCTTCCTTTTCCCCAAAGCTCCCTGCCTGCCCTGGAGATGTTGTGGGTGCTGCAGTTCTCTATGCTCAGAGGGTGTCAGAGGGTGATGACAGCGTACACACTAGGAAACCCATATCAAAGCTCCTCCCTTGCTGCCCTGTGATATCAATCATTCCTATTGGCCACATCATCCCAGGAACCTTATCTCCCAGCCAAATGCCTCTGTCTCTGGACCCTTATCCGCTTGCTTCATCTTTCAGAGCCAAACATGCCTGGTTTTTTGTTTATTTATTTGTTTGTTTTTTAAGATTTTATTGGGGAATTGGGGTAAGGGAACAGTGTTGAGGAATTGGGGAAGAGGAACACTGTGTTTTTCCAGGACCCATCAGCTCCAAGTCAAGTTGTTGTCCTTCAATCTTAGTTATGGAGGACGCAAGCTCAGCTTCAAGTCCCGTCGCCACTTTCAATCTAGTTGCGGGTTGGGAGGGGTGGGGGTGGGGGTTCCGCAGTCCACCATCCCATGCGGGAGTCGAACCAGCAACCTTGTTGTTAAGACTATGTGCTCTCACCAGCTGAGCCATTCAGCTGCCGGTTGGCAGCTCAGCTGCAGCTCAGGCGCAGCTCACTGGCCCTTGTGGGAACTGAACCGGTGACCCTGTTGCTCAGAGCTTGTGCTCTTAACCAACTGTGCCACCCGGCCGGCCCCAAACATGCTTCTTTAGTGCCTTACTCTAAACCAAGGAAATCTCTCCCTAAGAGAGACTGCTTTCCTCTCAAGGAAACCACTCTAATTCCAGCCATTTTGTTTTATTTGAAGTAAAATTCACATAACATAAAATGAGCCATTTAAAATGTACGGGCCAGCTGAGAGGTTCACTTGGTAAGAGCACAATCTCTGAAAAACAGGGCTGCCAGTTCGAGTCCCACATGTGCCTGTAAGCTGTGCTCTCTACAGCTAAGATTGTGAACAACAGCTCCACCTGGAGCTGGGCTGCTGTGAATGGCCTGTGATGGTGTAGGCTGCAGTGGGCTACAGTGGGCTGCCGTGAGCTACCGTGAGTGGCCGGCAGCTGGTGAGAGTGGTGAGCCACCGTGAGTGGGCCATCCAATGGCCGGTGACCAACTGCCTCAGCCGGGAAGAGCGCAATGATCATAATACAAACATGGGCCAGTGACGTGGTGTCTTCCACAACTAGACTGAAGAACAAAAGGACAACAAGTTGGCTGGCTGTTCCCCTTCCCCAACACTGTTCCCCTCCCCCAACCCCCCCAACAGAATCTTTTTAAAAAATTAAATTAAATAAAAAGTACGATTCAGTGGCATTTAGTACATTCACAATGTTGGGCAACCGCCACCTCTATCTAGTCCCAGAACATTTCCATCATCCCCCAAAGGAGACCTTGTACCCATTAGCAGTCACTCCCCATTCCCTCTTCTCCCCAACCCCTGGCAACCACTAACCTTTTTGTCTCTATGGATTTGCCTATTCTGGATATTTCATATAAATAGAATCATATAATGTGTGACTTTTGTGACTGGTTTCTTTCACTTAGCATGTTTTTCAAGTTCATCCACATTGTAACATGTATTAGAACTTCATTCCTTTTTATGGCTGAGTAATAATATTCCGTTGTGTAGATGGACCACATTTTGTTTTTCCATTCATCTGATAATGGACATTTAGGTTGATTCCACCCATTGGCGATTGTGAATAATGCGATTGTGAATAATGCTGCTGTGAACATATGTGTGCAAGTATTTGTTCGAGTCCCTGTTTTCAGTTCTCTTGGGTATATACCTAGGAGTGGAATTGCTGGATCATATGGTTACTCTATGTTTAACTTTCTGAAGAATCATCAAACCGTTTTCCATGGTAGCTGCACCATTTTATATTCCGACCAGCAGTGTATAAGTGTTCCAGTTTTCCCACATTCTTGTCAACAAATGTTATTTTTTTGTTTATAGCCATCCTAATAGGTTTGTCCAGCTGGCTTTTACATTACTTTTTGCCCCCACCCCTCTTGTAGCACATGATAATTTTTTGTCTTTTTGTGTGATGCATTCATGGTGCACCAACTCCATATATCTGTGGTGATTTGTCTATGTCTAGGTGAGGTTGTGTGCCTTTCCCTATCAGGGTGTCTAATTCCATGTTGGTATGGTTGTCTGTGTTTGACTGAGTGTGCCCCCTATGGTTGGACATTGGTAGCTGTGCAATTGTCTGACTAAATAATTACATACTGGGACAGTGACAGGTGGTGTGACTACGAAAGGTTGTAGGCTTTATATTTTGTTGTGTGTGATAGTGTGTGTGTCTGATGTTAGCTGTGTGCATGACTACATCATTGTGTGTTTGTGAAAGGTGTGTGCAGCCGGGTTTCATGCTTTTGTGTCTGAGGCACATCTGTGTTTGACAGGGTTGTGTGACTGCATCTTCTATAGTCTGGTAACAGCATATCTAGGAATCTCCGTGTGTCTGTTTGGTTGTACCTAAATCATGTCAATGTGATTGTATGATTGTGCATGACTGGATAACTGTGTGTGATTGTGCCAGCGCCTGTCTATGTGATTATGAATTCTATGTCTGAGAGATTATGTGACTACAACATGGTATAACCAAGTGGCATATGGTTGTTTTCCTGTCCCAGAATTGTGTGTCTGTACCTGGTCTATGTGATGCACTGATACAGAATTATATGTGTGGGACTACATGGTCTGTGTGGCTGAGGGACCAGGAATTTGTGTCACTATGTAATTGCATATTGTGTGTTTGTGACTATGAACTGTGTATCTCTGATGTGTGTCCATGTTGCCCCCACCCGAGACTACCAGGGCACCACAGTAGATGTCCCTGGTGCAGCAACTTGGATGCTGCCCCCATGTGGGACAGAAATCAGGCAGCAGCAAGACCCAGGGCAAGGGTGGATGTGAGTCTCTTGCAAGCCAGGTATTTCTTGTGGTCCCATCCAATGGTCCTCTCTCATCCAGGTGAGGGGGTCAACTCCCCCTCCCCAGCCCTCATCACACTGCAGATGTAGTGGCACCAGCCGCAACCTCCACACAGCCCCACTCCCTGCAGCGTCCCTCCCCCCCAGGAGGTGGGGTCCATGGTAGACAGTGGCAGCTAATTGGCAGGGGCTCTCCTGCCATTGGGCTCAGGCCCTGAGAGTTCATAACCCAGGAAATTTCAAGCCAAGCTAACGTGAAGCCCCAGCCCCCAGCCCTGCCACTCGCCAGGGACAGAGTTTTGGCTGTTCTGGGCCCCCACCTGATAGCAGCCTCCAACGCCTGGGGTGTCTGATAATGCTTGGCCTGGCAGGGAGTTCATGCCAAGTCCCGCCATCGGCATCGTTGCTTCTGTTTTTTGGGAAGGGGGAGGGCTGCAAGGCCTCGGTCAAAGAAGAGGGGGGTCTCAAAGCCCCTCCCCAGAATCCCCATTCTGCCTGTCACCCCTTCTCCAGGAAGGTAACTGAGAGCAAGCCCCCAAGTCTCCCCTTATTTGGGGATGCAGTGCCTTACTTTATCCAATACCTGAACCCCCAAACCTCTGAACCCCCAGCCCCCAAAAATCTGACTGGGCTTTGGGTACAGGGTCAGTCTTTAAAGCTCTGCCCCAAAAAAGCCAAGACAAGGTCTGTTCCCTAGAAACAGTGACCATCCCCCCCCTTACCCCCCCCCTCGCCTTGCCTGACCCTTATCAGGGGCTGCAGCCAATCATCTGAGGGCAGAGAGGAGCCCTCCAAGGGGCCATCGGAGCCTCAGAGCCCACGAGGCTACCGAGGGAGAGGAGGCCTGAGGGCTAGGGTGGGCACCAGCCAGCCATGGCCGCAGCTGAGACCACCTTGCCTTCCATCAGTACACTGACTGCCCTAGGCCCCTTCCCGGACACACAGGAAGACTTCCTCAAGGTGAGGCCACACAGGGTCTAGGTGGCTGGCTGGGATCCTAGGCTGCAGTCATAGAACTTAGGGGTCAGGTCTGCATTTGCCCTGGAATCCAGAGACCTGGCCATGACTGGGGGTCCTCAGCCCAGTCCAAGGGTCTGAAGTGGTCTAAAGGCCTATTTTTGTATTGGAAAACTGAGGCTTAGAGCTGAACACCTTGGGGGTCTAGGCTCACTAAGACAACCCCAGGTATCAGAGGAAAAGAACAAAGGTGTCTAGAGGATATCCAGGAATTAGTCTTGGGAGTTAATCTTCTTGGGGTACTGGAAAGCAATGGGAGACTCTGGGGGAAAACTGAGGCAAGGCTGGGCCACCCCAGCCTTCCATTCTTGACTCTGCCACCCCTTCCTCCATGCCTGAGTGCAGCTCCAGATAATGTAAGTCTTATCTCCTATTGCCAGCCAGACCGGATCGACCTCTGTCCCTGAAGCTGGAGGGGGGACAGGGGCAGTGTGAGGGAGTGGGACAGACAGACATCACAGACAAGCAAGCAAGACCCCTTTCCAGAGCCTCTGGCCAGCCTGCTCCTATCAGGGCACCAAGCCCCCTCCGACTCCGGGCAGGGTACCCTGGTGACCCCTGAAGCCTTACGCTACGGCTCCCTCCCGTAGTGGTGGCGCTCTGAGGAGGTGCAGGACTTGGGTCCGGGTCCCCCCGACCCCATCGGGCCGCCCTTCTATGTGAAAGCAGAGTTGGAGGACGTGCCTGGGGAGGACGAAGACAAGAAGGACGTGGCCACCGCCTGGGACCTGGATCTCTTCCTCACCAACCTGCCGTGCGCAGAGCCGGGCGGTGCGCCCCAGACCTGCGCTCCGGCGTCCGGCGAGTGTCCGGGTGTGCAATTCCCACCGCCGCCCGAGACTCTGGGCGCGTACGCGGGCGGCCCAGGGCTGGTGGCTGGGCTCTTGGGTCCCGAGGAGCACCCGGGCTGGGCGCGCCCGACCCCACGAGCCCCGGTCCCTGACGCCTTCGTGATCCCAGCCCTGGTCCCGGTCCCCGAGCCCAAGGCACTGCCACTGCAGCCGGGGTACTTGGGGCCAGGTGCAGGCTCCTCTGGCAGCTACTTCCCGCGGACAGGGCTTTCAGTGCCTGCGGCGCCGGGCGCCCCCTATGGGCTGCTGTCCGGGTACCCCGCGCTGTACCCGGCGCCGCAGTACCAAGGGCACTTCCAGCTCTTCCGCGGACTCCCCACGTCCGCGCCTGGCCCTACCGCGCCCCCCTCCTTCCTGAGTTGCCTGGGACCTGGAACGACGGGTGCGGGACTCGGAGGAACCGCAGTAGATCCAGGAGAGACCGCGGAGGCTGCGCCGTCTAAGCGCAGCCGGCGCTCGTGGGCACGCAAGAGGCAGGCGGCGCACACGTGCACATATCCGGGCTGCGGCAAGAGCTACACCAAGAGCTCGCACCTGAAAGCTCATCTACGCACTCATACTGGTGAGGCAGCAGGGCTAAAGGCGGGGCCTCGGGAGCCGGCAACCAAGAGCAAAGGGCTGGGCAGAGGGAGCTGGGAGCTGGCCTGGACCCTCCCGAGCTGGGAAGGCTAGAGGGCTGAGTAGCGGTGGTGCAAGAGGCGAGTTAGGGTAGAGGGAGGACCTGAAAAACCTGAGGAGCGTTTCAGAAAACAGACAGTTAAGACCTGGGCCAGGGCTGAGGAGCAGAAAGCCTGGCAAGCGGCCTAGGGGATCGGGCTAGAGGAGGAACTGCGGGGAGGGACCAAGCTTGGAATGCCAGGGGCGGGGCCAAAGACACGGGTTCAGGTTTGTGGCAAGACGATTCTGGGCTCAGGGGCCAAACTAGGAGTAAAAAGCGTAGGTTGGCATGGAGGAGGAGCCAGACTGTAGGGGGCGTGGCTGGGGCTCAGGACCCGAGGAGATACAGGGTCAGAGTCAGTTTCACGTGCCCAGAAAACAGAGGAGGAGGGTGGGCACTAGAGAAACCGTCTCAAGGAGCTGAAGACAGAGAGGGGGTCTTGGTATAGAGGCGGGGAGGAGAAAGGGTGACGCTTATGCTTAGGGGTCCGCTGGTGCCAGGTGTACAGACCTGTCCAGGTACTCAGGCGGAGGGGTCAGGCGTAGCAGGGGGAGAGCGTAATTACCAAGGACAGGGCCTGGAACACCAGGTGGGTTTCGAGGCTCAAGGGTCAAGGCCAGGGGCAGGGTAGGGCAGCAGCTGGTGGGTCCCCTGGTGCAAGGGAGGGGCTGGACCACAGGGGGCAGTGTCAAAGGACTAGGGTGGTAGGACCTTAGGACGCTGGGGCAGGTTACCAGGGCACAGGAAGTGGGTCAAATGCAGGTACAGAAGAAGGGTCAGGGAGAGTGATCACCTCCTTAAATTGAATTCACACCCAAGGCGCCTCACTTGCCTCACCCTAGTTTAGTCCAAGGCTGAACAAAGAAGTGCGGCCAGATGCAGGGAGCGGGGTGGGACGGACAATGGCACTGACCGCTTCCTCACCTACCAGGGGAAAAGCCTTATGCATGCACGTGGGAAGGCTGCGGCTGGAGGTTCGCGCGCTCCGACGAGCTTACCCGCCACTACCGAAAACACACCGGACAGCGTCCCTTCCGCTGCCAGCTCTGCCCGCGCGCTTTTTCGCGCTCGGATCACCTGGCCTTGCACATGAAGCGTCACCTTTGATCCCCCCCGTCCCCTAGCACTTGGACCTTCCCGGGGACGGAACAAGAACGGAGCCACGCAGAGTGGTTTTCCCTCGAATGGACCCTCTCCCAGACTCATGGCCCCACAGATCCACCGAAAGATCAAGGACTGGCCTATAGACAGACCTGGGGGAGCCTCCAACGGAAGCTCCTACATGTCCTTAGCTACAAGGAGCCACAGAGATTTCCTACAGACGCAGACCCAACGGAACAAAGCTCCAAATAAATGGACTCAGATGGACACTCAAACACTTGGGACAGGAGACAGACCCTCAGAAAGCTGGGCCCTCAGACCAGCTCACAGGCAGCCCTGGACAGCGGGAGGGGTTGTGGGGTGAAGTTTCTCAGAGACCCTGGGTCTAGAAAGGGTCTTCACACCTTGACTTCTGAAGCTCCGCATAGAGGCTGGCATCAGCGGTGAATGGTTATGGGTCCTATAAAACTGCCCTTCCTAGATAAAGCTTCGGCGTTGGCCTGACTTTGTGAATTTTGAGTGCTGGAAGATGGGAGGAAGCTGTACCTCCAGAGGTGATATTGGGGGGCCATACACACCCTCACATCCTTATCTGCTAAACTTCAGCGACTCCCCTCGTTTATTGCAGGCCTTATGGTCCCTTCTCCCTCCAACCCAAGATCAGGCTACATCCTCCTTGTCTCCTGCCTTGAACCTCAGGGACCTTCACAGGGACCATCTCCCTCCATTTAAGAGCCCTCAGCCTGGCCCCAGAGCCCCAGTACCCTTCACCCTACCATGATCCACAGTGACCCCTTGGCTAGCTCAGCGGGGCCCCAGGAAAACATGCACAATGAAAAGGGGAAGGAGCAAGAGCAAAAACTCCCTTTAAGAGATCAAAAGTCACAAGAGTTGGACCTCGGCTGTAAGGCAGGAAAAGAAAAAAATGCAATTTGCGTCTGACCCAGAAGCCGAGGGAGGAACGGGTGCCGGCGGGAGAGTGGATTGGGGTTAGCCGGAATTGAAATGACAGAGGCGGGGCCTAGTGGAGGGACCTGAACGGTGATTGGCCAAAAGAGGAGTCAGAAGCAGGACAAGGGAAACCACCGGGCCATAAAAGAGTGTGATCTATTCTAGACTGAACCAGAGGGTGGAGTCTACCAAGAGTCGTCGGCCGGAAACAGGAGGCGGCCTCAGGCTGGCCGGGTTGGGGCGGGGCTTGCGGGGAGTAACAGCTTGAAAGGTAGCCCCGCTCTGGGAGGATCTGAAACTACATTTTTAAAACTCTGCTTCTCATCTCAGGGCGGAGTTTCCATCCTCCTGTTGTCCCGCCCCTGGTTCCCTGGCGGATTTTGGGGAAATGAGTCACCAGGGGCCCATCTCATGATCCGGCGCCCCGCGGTCCCAACACAGATTTCTCGACCCCGGCCCCATGGCTGCGCTGAGCCCGCTGCTCCTAGCCGCGCTGCTGTGGGTCCCTGCAGGGGCCCTGTCCTGCTACGGGGATTCGGGGCAGCCTGTGGACTGGTGAGTGCGCGGGCGCCGACCATTACCCCGGGGCCCGACTGGGGATTGCTGAGCTCTTGAGTGACGCCTGGGGCTCCTTCTCTTCCCCTTCTTCCATTTCTGTCCGTTCCCCAACCTCCAGGTTTGTTGTTTACAAGCAGCCGGCCCACAGCGGGCCCGGGGTCGAGGCGCAGACGGGGCTGCAGTACAAGTACTTGGATGAGGTGTCAGGGGGCTGGCGTGACGGCGCGGGGCCCATCAACAGCTTGGCGGGGGCCGTGGGCCGCAGCCTGCTGCCGCTGTACCAAAACACCACCCAGGTGATGGGACGCAAGGCGGAACCTGGGTTGGGACTATAGAGAGGGTTCGGCCTGCGGGGGAAACTTCACGTCGCTCGGTTTATCCCCACCAGGTCGCCTACCTACTGTACAATGACCAGCCTCCTGACGGGGCTAGGGATTCTTCCAGCCGGGGGCACACGAAGGGTGAGACCCGGATTGGGGGCTGGGGAAGGGCTCAGGTTTCCTTATGCATTTCCCCCTACTAACCCCTGACCTGCAGGGGCGGGAGGGGGCCTGCTCTGTCAGACCCTGGGCGTCTGTTTCCTCAGCTTATACTAACGTTGTCCTTTCTCTGGACTATAACATTGGTTGGCTGTGGAAACAGTTCAGCAGTAGTTCTGACATTGCCCACACCTTCTCTAGGCTACCTGCAAATGAAGGGTATTCCTGGTTGCACATGTGCTTGTTGGGATGCTGTGAGCAGTGCCCCTGATCCCTGTCTTCTGGTTCAGGTGTGCTGCTCCTGGGCCAAGAAGGGGGCTTCTGGCTGGTCCACAGTGTTCCAGGCTTCCCTCCACGTGCTTCCCATGCTAACTACAGCTGGCCTCGTTCTGCCCAAACCTACGGGCAGACACTGCTCTGCGTGTCTTTTCCTCTTGAGCAGTTCTCAAAGATTGGTGAGTGGGGACAGGGAGGCAGGGTGAGTACCTGATTGCCAGGCCAGCATATGGAGCACTCCCTCATTTTCTCCTCCCCTTGCCCTCCAGGCAAACAGCTGAGCTACACCTACCCCCTGGTATATGACCACAGGCTGGAAGGGACCTTTGCCCAGAAATTCCCTGAACTGGAGGAGGTGGTCAAGGGCCACCATGTTCGCAACAGACCCTGGAACAGCAGTGTAACACTCACATCAATGGCAGGGGCTATCTTCCAGAGCTTTGCCAAATTTGGAAAGTTTGGAGATGGTGAGCCCTGAGCTTGAGGGTTGAAGTACCCTTTTTCTGCAGAGGTGGTGTCAGATGTGTCTATGGCTGAGGGCAGGTCAGAAATAAGGACTAGGACTCTGGGAGCCAGAAGTATATAAGAAGTGGACAACCAACAGACCTGGATTCAACTATTGGTTTCTGGTTGTGTGGTGCATGATTTAATTGGACTCTCAGTTTACCGATCAGAAAAATGGGGGTACTGAGAACTACTTTAAAATGTTGTTGGAAATGAAGTGATACATACACAGCATTTAGTAAGGGCTATTAGTCTTAATGTTGTTATTCCCTGGGATTGTCAGGAAACAGAGAGGGGCAGTAGCCTATGGAATTCCTGTGACCCTGACCTTGCCTATGTCCTCTTTCCATCCTCTGCAGACCTGTACTCTGGCTGGTTGGCAGAAGCCCTTGGCAGAAACCTGCAGGTCCAGTTCTGGCAACACTCTGGTGGCATCCTGCACTCCAATTGCTCCGGGGTCTGGCAAGTGCTGGACGTGACCCGGATAGCCTTCCCTGGGCCAGCTGGGCCCACCTTCAGTACCACAGACGACCACTCCAAATGGTGCGTAGCCCCAGAAGGGCCCTGGGCCTGTGTGGGTGACATGAATCGGAACCTAGGAGAAATGCAACGAGGGGGGGGCACAGTGTGTACCCAGCTGCCTGCCCTCTGGAAGGCCTTCCAGTCTCTGGTAAATGAATGTGAGCAGTGTGGGGAGGTGAGCAGGACCTTCTCTCCAGGAAGCCCAGCAGAGAGTATAAGAGCTAAGGCTCAGAAGCCAGTTTGGACTTCAGTTTAATTCCATTTAGTCTCTTCCTAATTGTGTGACCTTAATTATGTGCCTTAACCTCTCTGTGACTCAGTCTACTCATCTGCAAAATGGGAACCATAACAACCGACTCAGGATTGGTGAGAAATAAAAGGAAACTGGTGGATGGGAGTGTTAACCTTTTCTACAGGTGGGCACTGGGACTCAAAACAGTGTTACACCTCCCTGAGGGTCTGGGGGCAGCTGGCTCATAGGTGAGACACCAAGTGGGACCACAAGAAAGGGTCCACATAAGACTCACTTCCCTTCTCTATGGTAACCGGGACTGGAGTTCGGCCCCTCAACAAGCACACAAGCAAAAGGGCAGAAACCTTGCCTTGCCAGGGGAGGAGAGGCGAGCCCCAGAAAGCTCACATAGCTTGAGGTACTTTATTTATATGTGTACATATGTATACAAGCGGCTGTACAGTGCTGGGCCAGCGGCCCCCTCAGCTATGGGCCTGGGGGCGTGGGGCAGGGTGTCCCTTTTTTGGTCAGGCCTGTTGGGGGTACAGCTTCAGCAGGGCACCGGGAAGTCAGTCCCACCTCAGGCTTGGTGGCTGGGACCAAGAAGGACGTTGGTGGGGCTGGGAGCGCTATGCTGCTGGGTGCATTCTTCGTCGGGGCTAGAGAGTGTGTCTGGGGTTCTGGGGAGAGCTTGGAGGAAGTTGGCTTGGAGCGTGGCCCACTCAGCGTGGTCTGCTCCTCTACCACCTCCAGTACCCAGCGCTCCCGACCTCGGGGGGCCTCAGGTGCGGGAGGAGCCTGGGGTATGGATACCTGCAACCCCTTCGAGTCTGAGCCCGGAGGCTGGGGCACCTCGGTTTTGGCCCCCGGCCGCACGGGCTCTACGACAATGGGCACCAAAGGAGTGCCTGCTTCGCCCGAGCTGCTGCGCCGGCCTGTCTCGTGTTCCTGTACTGGGCTCAGTGTGGCCTTGGCCACGGCCCTGGCCGCCCCGCCTGAGCCATCTTCAGTCTGCACACTCTGCTGCCGCGTGCCGCTGGCGTCTCGCTCCAGTGTCCGGCTCCCGGGAGTCGTTGCGCGGGGTGGGGTACAGGCCTCCGCACCGCCCGGTAACTCCTCTTTACTGGACGCAGCCGGCGGCCTGGGGGCGCCCTCGGGCAGCAGGGGGTCCAGGCTCAGAGGCGACTCCTGCCGGCCCAAGCGGCGGACAGCAACCTGCCGGGGCGTGCCAGGCCCCTCGACAGGGGGCGTCTCGCCATCCGACTCAGCGAGGCTATGCAGCGCCAGCTCGCCGTGGAAGTCCTTGCGGAAGTCTGGGTGGCCCACCTCAAGACTGTGTTTGCGCAGTGCGCCCTTCTTGTCAGCGCCCAGAGAGGCTCCCAGCTTCTCTGCCGACTGCACGCGTTTGAGGAGTGGAGAGCGTGGTGGCTCCGCACTCTTGGGGCGCGGGCGCACCACTGGCGGCGATGAGTGCAGCTTGGCCGGGAAGCTCTGTGTCGTATGTGAGCTGCCCACGGTGTGGCCAGGCAGCGGTGGCGGCGATGCCTGCGTTGGGGACGGCGTGTGGGCCAGCGGCGACAGCGGGATGTTGCCGGCTGACTTGCAGCGCGCAGAGCGGTACTGGCGGTGCAGCTTCGGCGACAGGCCGTGGAGCGTGCTGGGCCGAATGTGGTGCGACGCCGATGAAGCCGGTGAGTTGGGTGTGCTCGAGGCCGGCGAGCTGCTCTGGGACGAGGCCCCTGTGGGTGGGAAAGAGAGGGTGTTGCGCGCGGCAAGCACCACCAGAGGACCTGTCCGTCCACCCCTCGCTCAGCCCAGTGTAGGCACAGAGCGTACCTAGGTAGGCGGAGTCAGGTGTAGAGCGGTAGCTGTGGGTGGGAGAGCGCGCGGGTAGCCCATGGGTAGGTGAGCCGGGTAGGCTGTCGCTGGAGGACAGCGAGCGGTTCAGCGACGACAGTGAGCGGCTAGTGTGCAGCAGGTTCGACTGCTTCGTGATCTTGCGGAAGAGGGAGCTGCGTTTCTTGCTGGGGGACAAGGAGGGGGCCATTTACCTTAGACTAGACTCCAGAATTTCCGGCTCCTCCCACAACGGCCCCTGGGACTGCCCATCCCTCTGACCCCACCTTCTGCAGCTACAACCCACCTATTAGGGTGGGAAGAAGTTCACATGACTCAGTTCTGTCTGGCTCCTCTCACTCAAATCTCCACTCAGGACTTGTCCAGGCCAAATCCACTAATCAAAACAGAACACCCCTGGCCCCACCCACCTCTCCTAGCTCCTCCTACCTATAAGAGAGACATTATTTTAATTGGCCCAGTCTTGCCTGGCATGTTCATTCCAGATAGAAATTCCTCTCCTAGCCCTTCCCAGTCGTCTACTCTAAACACATCCAACAGGGAAAGACCATCTCCTCAATGGCCCCCTTTCTTATCCAGATCTGCTGGCCCCGCCCACCTGCTCAAGACCCTCCCACAATGCTTTTCTTACAGCCCAGGAACCTGGCACAGCTTCTTTCACTGGCTCCTTTCCACTTTCCCACACCCCCCATTCTGTCCTCTTGGTTTTGCTCTTTATTTGGTGGCCCAAACTTTTCCTTTTCCTGTTCTCATCTGTGCCCCTACCACCTTACCCCCTTCCCCGCCCACACACACACTGTTTGTTCAAAAAAATAAACTGGAGTGTTCCCACTGCCTACTGTGTATAGCCCCACCCACCTCTCCTGGCCCTCTTTAGCTGAGGGCCTCTTGTTCCTCCGAGCCATTTTGGCCTTGTAGCTGCTGCGCCTTGCTGGGCCGATGCGGATGGAGGTATTTTCGAAGGGCGTTGTGGTCACTGCCACTTTATTGCCACTCTGGGGAAAAAGGGGATACATGCTCTGCTGGAGGCTGTTCAGGCAGCTTCAGCTCCCAGGATCTCCCCTCCCTCTTCCCCAGTGTCCTCCCTCCCTTGCACTCACCTTAAGGATCAGCTCCACGACCTCAGGATGCACCATGCCATGCACAGGCTCCCCGTTCACATGGGTGATGAGGTCCCCCGCACAGAGCCCGGCCTCCTGAGCTGGGCCCCCCTCCTCCACGTGCTGGGGATGGAGTACACCACACAGGGGCAGGGTTAATAGGATCGGTAACAAGGAAGCTCCCTAAGCTTATGTGCCATACACCCAGCTCTGCATGCACTGTAATCCTCATAACACCTTATGAAATCATTATTATTCTCCCCAGTTTACAAATGAAGAAACTGAAGCTCAGATGGGGAAGGGACATTCTAGGTCGCAGAGGGGTCTCATCCAGGCTGCCTGGCTCCAGAGTTTGAGCTGTCCCTCATCCCTGGGGGGGGGGGGGGGAGGGGTCTCTCCTCCCACCGTGGAACATAGACCACACCCATGAGTGCTCACCCAGACAATGTGGTGGACACTGTAGACATCCGAGTCACCCATGTAGACGCGGATGGCACGCAATGTGAAGCCATACTTCTTGCCCGAGCGTTGGATGGTGATGGGGGAACGGAGCCCACTGACAGCGGGTGAGTAGTCCCGGCTGGGTGAGGAGTCCCGTGAGGACGGGTTTGAGGAGAGAGATCGCGGGGACATGGGGCTGGCCAGTGGTGAGCTTCCATGGGGATCCACTGCAGACACAGAACTATGGTCAGAAGTCAGGGCCAGCAGACACAGCTCTCCCTGTATCTGTTCCTCCCACCTTCCTAGTCTCAGGGCTCTCATTGGTCCATCCCAATGCCAATCACGGAACAGGGAAAATGCAGTGTTTTCTTTGGCTTGTCCTGACATAAATGGAGGAAGCCCCACCCCTGACAGGTGGGGCCCGGCATCACCTGCAGGAATCATGACAGACAAGGCAGTGGCCGAGGCTGACTTGATGACTTTGCCCCCTGTTCGAGAAGGCCGCTTCTCTACTGCAGGGTCCCCTGACAGTTGCTGGTGCCGCGCCCGGCGCAGAACTAGGTCATTGGTGGCCCTCTGGCCTGATGTATCCCCATCCTTTGAGGGTGGGCAGAGGTCACCTGGGCGTGGGCGGTCAGCTGCAACAGAGCACGTGGGTTAGGGGTCAGCCCAAGGTTACAGACTTCTTGCATGCTGTTCCCTATGCCTGGAATGCTTTTCCTACTTCTGGTCCTTGTTGGAATGTGAGTTTCATGAGAGCAGGTAACATACATCTAGAACAGCTCCTGATAGAGAGAAGTGCTCAAATACATTTGTTGACTGACCAAGCATGGAATGCAGAATACGGAGTGTTCCTCATGTTGATGATTGGAGTGTGAAGAGTACATGAGATCTTCCATAAACAGTACCAGGCCCATTGAATGCTCACTATATTATCACTGGGGAACTGAGGAAGGAGGCAGAAGGGGGCACTCACTGGCCTCGGGGTCCCCGGCGCTGGCGATGCCATCCCCTTGAGCTACCTCTTTGGGGACCCGTGCATCCAGCGAGCCTGGGGGATCAGAGCTGGGCCGGGGAGGCCTGCGCAGTCGGGACTCATCCTCATCCTCTTGGGGAACGTTGAAGCGGCTGGGCTCCAGCAGCGCGGAGAAACGGCGGCGTGCGCCCAGCGGGGGACTGGCCTCTCCCTCCAGGAAGCTGGCCTCAGACGCTGAGAAGCGCTTGCTGCTGGAAGGGGATGGATGTGGTTAGAGGTGACACGCCCCTTCGGTCCCGCCCCCCCAACCCAGCCCTGCCTCCGCTCACATCTCTGGGGAGCCTCCTCTCCAGGTCTTCTCGCGGAGAGTCAGGCTGCCCAGGCCCTCTCGCTTGCCAGCCACTTTCTCCTCTGGTGCCTTGGCGCTGGGCTCCCGCTTGCTGCCCCCTGTTGCCGCCACAGGAGTCTTGGGCTCATGCTGTGATAGCTGTTCCATACTGCTATACACCTGCACGGGCGGATGGACGGTGGTGGTGGTGGGGGGGGGGGACAAGGTCCTGCCTTTGCTCCCGCCCAAGCCATGCTCTCCCCGCCCAAGGCTGGCCCTGCCCAATTCTGGTTCGTTCCCCCAACCACCTACAACTCTTCAGTTCAGACTCCATCCCACACAGTTAGGCCCTGCCTTATTCTAGATCATGCCCCGCCCTTACCTTGAAGGATTTGCTCTCCTTCCTGTCCCACCTTTCCAGGCTCCACCCAATCATGTGTACCCCAGGCTAGGACCTG